TGCTATAAATATGTATCTGTTAGGGTGTTTTTGACAGCAAGATATGAAAAATTCAATTCCACTGATTTTAATCAACAACAAAGGGGATTAACTGAATTATGTAACAGAAATTAAGTGTTGAAGTAAATTTCTAAGCCCATGATGGAGCTGCTCCTGCCCAGGGTGCCATGTCAGCAAACCAAAATATGGATAACTTTATGTTCCTATAATTGCTCTGCTTGAACAGAAGTGCAGTTTATCGAGCCAGCCAATCCCCAACTGCCAAGAACCTGTAACGATTTCCTTATTCTCAGATATGCAACCCCAGCCTATCAACCTAAGCCAAATACTCTTTACTTATTCCCTGAGCTGCTAGCCTTATATGGAAATTTCCATCCTCCTAGTCAATCATACCCTGTTTCTTTGTTGCTGCTTCAAATATTCTATTAAAACTCACTCTTGCCAAAACATCCCTTGGGAAGAGTGTTCCACGGCTTGTGAGGTACTACATGCCCCAATCCAGGATTGTTTTCCCTTGAATAAAGGACATCAAACTCATTGGTAAATTGTTTTATTTTTGTCATTTGACAGTAGAGAGGAGGGGTGGTGTTCAGGCATAGCTCAATCAGGACCTTAGCTGTTCTGTGATTCTCTTACTCTGTCTTCCTCTGTTCAATTTCATTCAACATGACAATGCTGAGAAAAGAGAGCATATTACTTCACAAAGCAGTGTCATAAATTTAAGAAAACTTCTTTCCCAGAGATCTTCAGCAAAACTTTTCCTCCTTCCTTTTTTTTTGTTTTTTGTTTTACTTTATATCCCTTAACTCCTTTAATTGTCACAATAACCCTATGAGAGTGATACAATCTTTTTCATTGTGCTATTTATTTTTAATTAAAAGTCATTGGGGTGACTTTTCCTCCTTCTTATTGGCCCCAAACAGGTCACATGCCCTTGTGCCCATTCTTGAACCTATTCCTGTGGCTGAGGAAATATGGTGATTTCTTGACTGGTTTAGGCCTGCTAATCTTTGAATCAATCACTGCAGTAATCACTGATTAGTTTAATCTAGACCCACCTCTGAAGATGGGGTCAGTTCCCCAAACCATATGGCTGCTATCAAATATGGAATGGATGAAATGAGTATGTCAAGGCAACCACATGTACATCAGGTCTATCTTATTCAGTGGCAAGAGACTCAAAATAAATTCTTGATACAGTTATGCTAAGTATCTGAGGCTGGTTTGTACATGCTGCAGGAGGCCCTAAGATTTCCAGGAAATCATTGTAAAAATAGTTCTAAGAATTGTGATCTCATGAGGGCTTACACATCTTTGACCTTTAAAATAACTGCCTAGAAATAACTAGGACTTACGTTGTTACGTAATTAACTTACCTTGTTATGTACTGTATTCCCCCATGTATAAGACGCACCCTTTTTCGAAAAATTTGGGGTCTAAAAACTGTGTGCATCTTATACAGTGGTTGTGGATTTTTTTACTTGCATTTCCCGCTTTTTTCACGCTTGTTTTTGCGCTCCTACAACTACTGTATAAGACGCACCCAGTTTTTAGACTCCAAATTTTTGAAAAAGGGTGCGTCTTATACATGGGGAAATACGGTAATTGGTATTTTCTTAAAAGAAAAAAACCCCAGCTATGATTACTTTTTTTGACTATTTAGAAGAATGCAGACACTCAAAGCTGAACACTTCATAATACTGGGGCAGTGACCTGCGTCCTGGTCTTGAAGAGTCAGGCAATCAGTGGGGAGACCTAGATGGACAGCTGTGCAGCACTGAAGCTGAAAAACTCAGCAGACAGGAAAGACCATGAAGTCCTGTCTTTATCTGCTCTGTCAAGGTCTTCCATGGTCTTCCAAAATCTAACTGGCTCCCAGAGCAACAGAGGATTCTTCCACAGAATTACTGTATTTGTAAGTATATGCATGTCCTGCCACTGCTATTTGACATCTTCTTTAAAAGCAAACAGCACAATGTTCAGATTTATAGCTCCAAGTCTATATTTTCCATAGACACTTCAAAATCCACATGTGCAAAATTTAAATAATCTCCCCCCTCTTCAAAAAACATAATCCTCTCAGCTCAATAAATGACAGCATCATATGCCACCCAATTCTCCAAACCCAAAGCCTAGAATTATCCTAGAGTCTTCACTTTCCCCTGCCCTAACTCCAATCAATATCTAAATACTATCAGTTCTACCTGTATTACCTCTCAAATCTGTTCATTCCACTATTATTTTAGCTTAAGATATCATCAAGACGCCTATCAGTTCTCTGAGCTTCCACCTATGTCCTGTACAATTCACTAACCACTTAACAGCTTTAGAGTTCTAAAACTCATCTTTCCAATGTATGTATGTTCTGTCCTTGCTTAAAAGAACATACTATGACTAACCCAAAGTCCTCCAGATAAAGCCTAAATTGTTTTACATAACACAGGCCATCAGGCCTGTTTTAGCTTCTTAGATCAGGAGAGGGCGAACCACCAGCCAAATCCACCCCATTGCCTGTTTTTATACCATTTAAAGTTCCTATACTTTTAAATGGTTGAAAGAAATCAAAAGATGAATATTTCATGATACTGAAAACTATGCAATTCAAACTTCTGCATCCATAAATAAAGTTTTATTGGAATACTACCCTGCCCATTCATAATCTCTATAGTTGTTTTTGAGATACAAGTTGAATAGTTGTGACTAAACCAATATGGACTACAAAACCTAAAATATTTACTATCTGGCCCTTCATAGAAAAAGTTTGCCAACCTTTGCTCTACACTCATCTCTCACCACTCTCCACTGTAGCCATCCTGAACTAATAGAAGTCCCTAATAGATCACCCTTTTCTCTTTGACTTGCTCCGCCCACCTCTCCACAGGTGCTCTCATAGAACTAACTCCATCTTAGCACTGAACAGTTATTCTGATTGTCCCTTTACCTGGCTGGTACAAGTGTTCACCACTGAATCCTCAGCACCCAGTATGATCTCTGCCCTCCTTCAGCGCCTGATAAATGTGTGTTGATGAATGAACAGCATCCTGAAGAGATGAACAAGGCTGTTCAAGCTTTCAGGAGCTTACAAAGGGAAAACACTAGTATAAACAACAAATTAATCTATAAGGAAGAATGAAAAAGCACTAAAAAGTAGCATGTACTCTGCAACATACCCAAGGAGAGAGAATTCTACCTGGAGAAAGGTGCTGCTGCTTTATAAGAAAAGAGTGAAGAAATAAAATGGAGTCATTATGGTCAAGTTGCTAAATTTTAAAATCAAGTAGGCTGAGGCATGACAAAGCAATTTTACTATTGTTTTAACTAGCCTGGGGACTTAAACTTTTGAACTTTTCAGTGCTGTCTGGATATATATATATGAAAGAACATCCCTAAGAAAGTTTTACAAGAGTTTATTTGAGTCAAACTGATGACAATTGCTGGGAATCAAAATCTCAACGGATTGAGAAAATACTCCAGAGAATGGCAGTTTTGCAACTTATTTTATTAGAATCAAAGGAGAAGGCGTAAGGTTACATGAAAGTCATTGGTGTTAGATTAGGAAGGTGGGAGGAAGCAAAGTGGGGAGCTCTCTGAGATCAGATAAAAAGCAAAATGGGGAGACACATGCTTCTTTTACATTGGTGGGTACAGAATAGTTAACATTTACAGCGCATAGAGATGGTATGCGGGCAAACAAGTTAACAATAAGGGGTTTTGTGGTCTTGTGCTCTGATGCCCGCAGTTGTGCTTTCGAGGAGTCTGGAAAAGAAAATTACTCTGACATTTCAAAGGTATGTTATCTTAGATGCACAAAGACAACAGATAATTTCAAAGGTTAAGACTGATCTTTGTTAAAGAAGCTACAAGCATAGGACGTGACTACCCACCATGATCCCTTGTTCGTTAGGAATTTTTACGTTCAGACCACTGTGTAGTTGCTTTTGGTCTCTGTGTCTGTAAGGTCAGCCATGCAGGCCTCCCAAGCTTGTCAGGTTTAGTATGTGGCACCTCTTTCATCCGCAATATAAATGCACGCTGCAGATAACTCTCTGATAACCCTCTGAAGAATTTAGTAAAGAATGTTCACGACTCCAGACCACCTGACATTCATCATCCAGACCGCCTGACACCTGGCCGATTACCATCTTCAACTAATCCCAAGACTGCGAATGCAGGACTGACTCTAAAGAATGTGAATTTTGCTATAAAACCCCTCAGCTTAACATTGTAATAACTTTGCACAGTGACACATGGTTACTAGACTTAGTGTGGTGATCACATCATAAGATAATAAATGGCAAATCATTATTTTGTACACCTGAAACTAATATACTGTATGCCAAATACACTTTAATAAAAAAACAAACAAAAAAACCTCTCAACTTTTCTTTCCTCCTCACAACACTATGGGTAGTGCCCAGTTGTGTTTCTGACTCGAATAGCCTAAGACTCTTTAATAATTCTTTATCATTTATTTCTAATCAAAGCCTCTGGTCAATGCTCAGTGGACATTTAGAATCCTTTCTGATTTGAACATAAAACCCCTACCTCCATGATGAAACTATTTTCGAGTTTTTGTTAGCATGCAATGTCCTCATCTGTAAAATAAGGCTAAATAATTCCAACTTCACAGGATTAAATAAATACGGTTAATATTGAAAGCACGTAGCTCAGGGTTCGCGTCACAGAAAGTGCTGGGTAAAGTGCCCGGATCCTCTAAAATGCTCGGTTTGCCGGTCATAGAGTCTGTATCTAAGGTAGGGCTCTCCGATGTGCATAGCCAAACATATGGCCCAACATCAAAAGCATGCCTGTAGGAAGAGCAGCGCCCTCTCAGCAATGCGCTTCAGGTGTACCCGGGCTAGGCTGCGCGAGGGCGGAACTGCTGGAAAACCGCCGCCCGTCGGCCGAGCCCGTAAAGTGAAAAAACTACAATTCCCGTAGTGCTTTACGCGAGCTTAGGGCTACTCTATATTTTATCAACCCCCAGCCTCTTCCGCGAAGCCCTCAGAGGCTCCGCCCCAAGAATTCTCTATGCTTTGCTTCTGCAGTCCCGAGCGTGGCCCCGCCCCAGTCACCGGAAGAACCCGTGCGTCCTCACTAGGTCCTACGCGTTGTGTGAGGGGCGGGAGTTGAAGGACGGTCTCTGGCCGGGTTCGCGGGTCCCTGGGACCGCGGAAGAGGCTTCGGCGAACCGCCGCGATGCCCAACCCGCGGTCGGTCAGTCAGCTCCTGGATCTGTGAGTCCACCCTGTTCCCGCCTCTTTTTCGCCTAGGCCCAGTGTCTCCACCGTCCGGCCGTGCCGTTTGCTGCTTTCCCTCCCGCCCCCTTCCCACCTCTGGACCTACGTAGAGGTCCCGCTGGTGTTTTTCTTCCTGGGTTTCTTGTTAGCCGTCTCTTCGTTGAGGACAGTTGTGTCCAAGTGGGCTGCTGGAGAGGGTTGCCCCTCTGTCCTCTCCCCTTGGCGCCCCCGGATGGGTGTACGAATTCCCAGTCAGCCTTGACAGCTCGACACCCCGGCAGTGGCCTGTTTCAATGACGGGAGTTGAAAGCCTTGGTAGAACAAAACACTAGGTGGGATTGTCAAAAGCCTTCAGCAAAGTTCCACCCAGTTGCTGTAACAGGGACACATTTGAGGCAGCGCGGATTCTTGACTGCGATTGCGGGGTTCAGCTGCGGGCTCTGCCAATCTCGAGCTGTGTGACCACGAGCTCTTGATCTATAAAATTAGTGTAACAAAGAGTAGCTAGCTATCTCATGGAGTTGTCGTGAGGAATAAATTTAACATATGTGAAGTCCTTAAAATGATGCCTAGTGTCAAAAGAAATTTCAGAGAGCTTTACTTGGTATGAATATTTTATTGAGGGAGAAACAAGTAGCTCAGAGGCGTGAAGTTATAGAAACTGGGAATGAGGAAGTTATTTAAGATGGTTATTACAGTGGGAGTTTACAGACAGCAGGGGGGTTGTTAAAAGTGATTATCTTATACTATTTTAGAAAGACTTACGTTGAATATTAGAGGCATTTACAAGAAATAACCTGTTAAATTTTGCTTTGTTCATGAAATAAACTAGATTAAGTTTCTCGCTTATGTGGCCTACCTGGTTTGGTTTGCTTGGGGGACTTTCAAGCATGGTCTCCATTTTATTTTATTTTGAAAATTACCCTCTTTTGCTCATTCAGCAAGCTAAGAGTGTGAACCAATATAGTGTTACTCAGACTACCACTGTCCATGTAGTCATTGGGATGGATGGTCATGTAATCACTGTTACCTATAGTTGCTTAGTCATCCTGGACATGGGTGTTGGGACATTGAATGTTTCAAGTTGTGTAATCCTGATAGATTACACTAGATGTGTGAGTGGTTGCCGAAAGGCTTTTAAAACCTTTGAGAGGATATAATGCACTAGGGAAGTTAATAGGATGATTATGAAGAAAATAACAACCTGGCATTGAAAAATTCCCTGGAGTAGAGATTCCCGGACCAAGATTTAATTAAAAAAATCAGTGGAAGAAGTGTTGCCTGTTTGATGAAAGATTGGTATCTGATCTTTAAGATCTTTTAAATTTTGGGTAACAATTCGTGATTTATTAACGTAGAAACTTTTTTTTTTAGATTTTTTTTTTACTGGGAATTGGGGAAGGGGAACAGTGTTGGGGAACTGGGGAAGGGGAACAGCCAAGTTCTTGTCCTTCAGTCTTAGTTGTAGAGGGCTCAGCTAGCTCAGCTCCAAGTCCAGTCATCATCAGGCCGCCTGTCAGTAGCTCGCGGCAGCTCAGCTCAAGGTGCTGTTGTCAACCTTAGTTTGGTGTGTGTGTGGAGGAGGGGCAGCACACCATCCCATGCGGGAGTCGAACCAGCAACCTAAAGGAGCACGTGCTCTCACCAGCTGAGCCATCCTGCCACCTGTTGGCAGCTCAGCGGCAGCTCAGCTTGGGTGCCACTTCCTGGCCCATGTGAGAATCGAACTGGTGACCCTGTTGCTCAGAGCTCATGCTTTTAACCAACTGAGCCACTTGTCTGGCCCTGGATTGACTCCAATTTTAAAAGAAGTTCTACAGTGGGTAAAATGCTATGAACAGCATCACATGCTACAGAGAAATTGTTCATGAAAGGAAGAGTCAATCAATATGGCAAATGTCACTGTTTTCTTATTTTAAGAAATTTCCACAGCCACTCCAACCTTCAGTAACTACCACCCTGATCATTCAGCAGCCACCAACATCAAGGAAAAACCCTCCAGCAGCAAAAAAATTACAATTCGCAGAAGGCTCAGATGATGTTTAGCATTTTTTTTTTTTTTTTTTT